TAAATGAGAATGTAAAGTGGTTTATATACATGGAAGGACGCAAGACCTATGTCTGCGGAACTGAAATTGTGGTGGGTTTTTTCACCCACCCGCGTTAAAAACTTCCAAACTTTTTTATTTATTTATTGGAGAAAATAGCCAGCTGTTGAAATGACAATTTGTTTAATACCAATTATGTTTCTTTATGTTGGAAGCATACTCAAAGTAGCTTTTCGACTTAAGGATGGCAAACAAAATATCAATATGTCTAATACACTAATATATATGGTGTCTATAATATGTGCGTTGTGGCCTTATAAAAGCTCTCAGGCTCAAGGAAGTAGAGACCAAACAAAACAAGGGCATAACCACCAAAAGAGAAGAAAACATCAGCGCAAAGCAGAGAAGAACTCGGGGAGAAATTCTAAAGCCAACCCAACAAATAACATGCTATCCTATAAGGCGCATCTATCCAGTTTTAAAGCAACAACATTCCGAGCCCTCGCTCAAAGAAAAGAGAAGGATAAATCCTCCAACAACTGAAATCTGCAAAATGCCCAACTTAGAAGCCAATGGGACCGCCCACAATGCAGCAAAATCTTCTCCTTCGATGACATGAGAAGGACCTCTCTCCACCTTGCACCACAACCATTGAATCGAACCTTCAAAATTGAAGAGCATTGCCTCCGAAGCACGTTATAATTTGTCGTCCTCAATTTGAATTTGGTTATGAAACATATCCACACCATCCCTTAAGGCAAAGTCTTCTCGTCAAACCATTTATATACAATCACAAATGATTCAGTTCATTCCTTTTGGGACAATCAATGCTGATATGACTGATTTAATTAGAAGTGGACCAGCAACCAACAAGGACACATGAATTGATCACCAGTAACATCTCCACCTGCATTTTTCTCAAAGCAGTCCCCAATGAGCAGCGGTGAACAAGAGAAAGCCAATGCAGTGACCGAGAATAAAAGAAAAGAGAGCTATTTTAAGAGTTTGTCTAATGTCAATGTTAGTTAACAAAATAGCAACAAGAAGCAACACTTCGAAGTCCCAAAATTAATGCTAATGTTAGTTAACAAAATCTTACCACATTCGGAAACACCATAAAGATATCTTCCATCTGTTTTCTCTTGCAATTTAACTCTTTCTAGGGGAAACACCATAATTGAGTTTGTCTTTCTTCTTCAAAAATATCACAATGTAGCACTCTGAAGCACTTCTCATTATACTGCAAATAAAAACATGATAAAGAAATGGACTTATCAAAAACTTATTGAAGCATGGCCAAAACATCCTATATCATTTTCATGGAAATAACACGAGCAAAGTTCATAAGTTGGATAATCATGGATATGAAAGAGGGACAAATTGGATCTCAACAGTTTAAAACCAATTCAACATAAATTAATAGTAGAAGAAATAGATCCATCGATACATGAACTAAAAGGATGATGACCTGATACTGCAAGGATTTTGGCTAAATATTATGTCAAAACCTGGACCACACTTTACGCCGTCGGATCAGGACTCTTCTACTCATCCTACAATCATACTGAACTCGATTAAATACCAATCTAAATGCGTTTGAAACAATAACAGACATTACCCCTATGTTAAAAGGTTATTTGTTACATGAACTCTCTTTGATCACTAATACCCACTTACTGATGTTGGGTGGCATATCAGCTATGTAAACTCAACTAGTAGGATTTCAAAGTCAACGGATAACAGGTCTGAAATATGAAAAACTGTTTCACGTTAGTAAAGCACCTAACAAATAGGAAATGCCAAAGTTCAATGGTAACAAGGGCCCCATTATCTGATTGGTAAGTTTACTACATTTCAGAAAATAAACAGATCAGGATAAAACAAACACTTTGGGTACTAAGAACCAGAGAACAATAAAAATCCTTCTTTTTCCATCAACATTAGTCTGTACCTAAAAAAGTTACAACCCCTTTTAAAAGGCCACACTTATATATTAGTGACAGTCCAGTCTAGTTGCAGCACTTGGGCAAGAACTATAGATATTTATGGCTGTAAAGAAATGCAAAGAATTTCAAAATGTATTGCAAAAGAGCGAACAGGGGACACACTTACACTGCCATAAGAAACGCCGCTACAAGAAAACTGATATTCGCATAAACTTAACCCATCAGAGCTGCAGCAATGCCGGAACAGCCTTCGACATGCAAGAAACGGCCAGCATTCTTTGCTACAAGAAAGAGAACATCAGAGATTAACAACTTGTGAATTTCAAAGTACCTTAAGCCCTGCTTCTTCAATAACCACACAGATCAGAAACCAGGTATTAGGAACACAAATTGTTACACCATAGTCGAGACATCGACCATTCCTTCGAACGACCGACGCCGAGGACTCCTGCGCGGAGGACCAGCTGTTGGCATCGAGGGTAAGGCATAGAAAACGTGCCCTATATGTCGAGAGATAGCGCAAGAGGAGAGGCACCGGGCGAGGGCTCTACATACTGAGACCGCGGCGTCGAGGGAACATTGTCGGTCCTTTTTGCCAGGAGTCATGTCAACCCGAGGAGGGAAGTACTGATTCGACTGCTACTGCAGAAGTCAAGAAGTCAGGCGGCAGGTTGAGAGGATCAACTGCGTTTCTAGGAAAAGTCATCATGAAAACTCACCTACCCTCACGAGGATCGAGAACAGACGATGGCTTCCTCCTTGGGAGCCGGGAATATGTAATCCGGGTAGAGGCCTATAAATAGAACAAAAGAAACCCAGAAAGGGGTTAGACACCATTGATATTATAGAGAGAACTTGTAAACATCTGAGAAAGTAGTGCATGCACAAGTGGATTAGACACAAAATTATTGCCGAACCACTATAAAATCCTTGTCTCTTCTACATTACTTTACTGCTTATTACTTGATCCTGTGGTTAGTGCAACTGTGAGCGTTTCCAGAGAGGTAATCACGAGTTGTCAGAAAAACACCGTCAACAATTGGCGCTAGAAGGAGGGCCAGAAGCCCAGAAATTTAACCCAGCTTTGAACCAAAAGAAACTGTCATCATGCCTCCCGGCAAGCGTGTCCGGAATACCCCCACCGCAGGGACCTCAAGGGATCCACTTCCATCGGCGGCCGCGACTCCCCCAGACCGTATCGACCAGCTCCAAAAGCAAGTCGAAGCGCTGACCGCGGCCGTGGAAAAAATGGCTACGGCCCTGGCTGGGCGGGAACAAGGGTAGGACCCGATGCCACCGCTTGAGGATGCGCCGATGAACCCGGTGAATGCCGTTGTTGGGGGCCAAGTGATTGGCGACCAACGTGGTGACGCCGAGGAAGTCGCTGACAGTCAAGCGGGCGATCCACGCCCGTCAAAGTCGAATAGGTCTGTTGGGAGCAGGCAACGCGCGGCACGGAGGAGAGCGTGGGAGAAGGCTGCGGCGCCAGCTGTGGACAACAGAAGTGCGCCCCCTCGACCGCAACAGGATCCACCTGGGAGGAACGTCGTCCCCGTGGGATCCACGTCGTTGCATGGTGGGGACCTGAGGGCAAGGCTCGACGCCCGACGTGGAAAGGCCGTGCAGCTGACGAAGGAAGATGAGCTCGCAGCAAAAAATAAAGCTCTGGCCGAGAAAATGGCCAGGCTGGAGAAGCAGATGGGGAGTCGACTGAACAACTTTGAGTAGGTTGTGGGAAAGGTGGCCGAGGCAGTTAACGTCGATGCCAAGATGTATACGTCTCACGACCACCCGTTCACGGAAAACATCATCCGGGTCCCACTTCCCAACAAGTACAAGTCGCCTACCATTCCGTTATACGACGGGAGGAGTGACCCGGACGATCACTTGGAGGTGTACACGGGACACATGGTCCTGCATGGATACCCCGAGGAGGTGATGTGTCGGGCGTTCAGGAATCACCTTTCTGATTCTGCGAGGAGATGGTTTAGGTCCCTCAAACCAAACTCCGTCACCAGCTGGGATGATTTGAAGAACGCCTTTTTGACTCAGTTCATAGGTGTCAAGAAATACATCCCACCAAAACAGAACCTGTCGAGGGTATACCAAGGACCTAACGAGTCCCTGAAGGACTGGATAGCCCGGTTCGGGGAACAGGTCGCTGGCACTGAAGGAATCTCTGATGAAGTAGCCCTGATGGGGGCGATGTCCAGCAAGAAGAAGGACATCCCCTACAGCACAGACCTCGACCGGAGGCCGCCCCACACCTATCAGGAATTCCTGACAATGGCCCAGGGGTTCATAAACGCCGAGGAGGCCAAGAAGGCCTTAAAGAGCAAGGCGGCAACCCCTGCCAAGGAGGAGGTAGGGCAGGCTAGCAGTCAGAACAACAGCAAGAAGCGCCGAGGTCCTCCTCAGGTGCAAGCCGGGCCAAGGTACAACCCGGCACCGAGCAACAGGGGCGGCAACGCCTCGACGAGCCAGGGGGAGACCAAGCGCCCCAAGCCGCAACGGTACGACGCCTACACTCCCCTGACTATGGGGATCGAGGACGTTTACTACGAGATCGGCCATCTCCAGGTCCTGCATCGACCTCCACCCCTAAAGTCTGACCCGGCACGGAGAAACCAAAACAAATACTGCAGTTTCCACGGCGAGAGTGGTCACACCACGGCCGAGTGCTACGACCTGAGGGATGAGGTCGAGAGGCTGATCCGGGAAGGGAGGCTAGGCGAATACCGAGCCGACCGCCGGAACAACAACAGGCGCAACGACGACCGACGGGATGAGCAGAGGCGCGATAACCCGCCCGAACCAATTGGCGTCATAAGAACGATCTTTGGGGGACCGTACCTCAGCGGTACCTCTCGACGCGCACAGAAGGAGTACGCTCGAGAGGCAAAGGAGAAGTTCAGCCAGAGGATCATGAACGTCTCTGGACGCGAGGCTAAGGCCGCGTAATATGAGGACGCCGAGATCACTTTCTCAGAAGCTGACGCAAGAGGGGTACATTTCCCCCAGAGCGATGCCTTGGTCGTCGAAGCCATGATCGGTAACCACACGATTTGCCGTATCATGGTCGACAACGGTAGTTCCGTGGACATCTTGTATGCAAAGTGCCTCGACAAGATGGGGATCCCCCACTCAAGGCTGCAGTACAGTGCCCAACCACTGTACGGGTTCACAGGAGACAGCGTCATCCCGGAAGGGGCCATCGAGCTACCTATGACCATCGGTGACCGACCACACACCTCAACCGTTATGTCAAAGTTCCTGGTGGTGAATGGAGGCGACCAATACAACGCGGTCATAGGACGCCCGACCTTGAGGGCCTTACGGGCAGTAACGTCCATCGACCATCAGGTGATGAAGTTCCCCACGCCAAACGGGATCGGCAAGGTCAGAGGTAACCAATACGAGTCAAGACTCACGTACTCGGAAACCATCTGCCACTACGCCGAGCCGACTCAGGTACGGAGAGAGCTACAAATGGTCGAGACCAGGGGAGAGGGACTCGACTTGGATTTGAGATTCCCATGTGAAGAACCCGGAGCAGGACCGGTCGAGGAACTAATTGAGGTCCCCATCGATGAAAGCGACCCAACGCGAACACTGAGGATAGGCTCGGAGTTGGGGGCACAGAACCGGAAAAAATTGGTCGAGTTTCTCAAGGGAAGCCTCGACGTGTTCGCCTGGACCCATGAGGACATGGAAGGAATAAGCTCCGACGTCATGTGTCACCGACTAAACATCGACGACAAGTTCCCGCCAAAGAGACAGAAGCGTCGACCAATGAACGCCGAGATGTCCGAAGCCCTGCGGGTAGAAGTGGACAAGCTCATGAGGAACAACTTCATCCGAGAAGTCTTATACCCAGAATGGGTGTCAAATCCTGTCATGGTAAGGAAGCCAAACGGGGAGTGGCGAACGTGTGTCGACTTTAGTGACTTGAATAAAGCCTATCCTAAGGACAGCTTCCCACTACCCCGAATCGACCAATTGGTCGAGGCCACGGCAGGACACGAGCTGCTGAGCTTCATAGACGCATACTCTGGGTACAACCAGATACCAATGCTCAACCGCGATGAAGAGTACACGGCATTTGTCACCGACAGAGGGCTCTACCGTTACCGAGTGATGCCCTTCGGTCTCAAGAATGCTGGAGCGACCTACCAACGTCTCGTCAACAAAATGTTCGCGGGGCAGATAGGAAAGACTATGGAGGTCTACGTCGATGATATGCTGGTAAAGAGCAGGAAGACCGGAGACCATGAGGAGGACCTGGGAAGAATGTTCGGTGTTCTCAGAACGTACAAAATGAAGCTGAACCCTCAGAAGTGTGCCTTCGGCGTCGCTTCAGGGAAGTTCTTGGGTTTCATGGTGAGCAGTCGAGGAATCGAGGCCAATCCGCAAGAGATTCAGGCCCTTCTCGACATGGCATCGCCAAAGAAGCCTAAGGAGGTCCAGAAGCTGACAGGCTGTGTGGCCGCACTTAATAGGTTCATCTCCAATTCCACAGATAAATGTGTACCGTTCTTTGACACCCTGAGGGGAAGCAAGCTGTTTCTGTGGACAGAAGAGTGCAAACAGGCGTTCCGACAACTGAAGGAACACCTTGGCAAACCCCCTATGCTGTCCAAACCTGTGAACGGAGAGGTGCTGAGCCTATACCTGGCGGTCTCGGAGCACGCCGTTAGTTCGGTGTTAATCCGTGAAGAGAAGAAGGTGCAGCTACCAGTGTATTACACTAGCAAGCGCCTCCTCGACACGGAGACGAGGTATCCCCAGATGGAAAAGCTCGCCCTCGCGCTAGTCGTGATAGCGAGGAAGTTACGGCACTACTTCCAGGCCCATAGCATTCAGGTCTTGACCAATCATCCCCTCAGGCAGGTGCTACAAAAGCACGATGCCTCTGGTCGCCTCCTTAAATGGTCAATAGAGCTCAGCCAGTTCGAGATCAATTACAAACCACGAACCGCTATCAAGGGCCAAGCCCTAGCCGACTTCATGGCAGAGTTCACAGGGCTACCAGCCGTGGTCGAGGAAGCCGACGAGCCACCACGATGGAAGCTCTACGTTGACGAAAGCTCCAACGACAACGGCAGTGGGACGGGACTGGTGTTACACACACCGGAAGGACACTAGGTCACCTCGGCCGTCAGGTTCGAATTCCCCGCGTCCAATAATGAAGCGGAGTACGAGGCACTGCTCGCCGGACTCCGGTTGGTGGAGCACTTGAAAGCTGAAAACCTCGATATCTTCAGTGATTCACAACTCATTGTGAATCAAGTGAAGGGCCAGTACCAGACCAGGGACGAGAAGATGGCTGCGTACTTGAAGAAGGTTAAGGAAGCCCTGGAAAAGTTCACCACCTATGACATACAGCAGATTCCGAGGGCAGAGAATAGCAACGCCGATGCACTCGCCAGGCTGGCGACGTCGAGAGACGCCGATCTTTTGAACCTGGTACCCTTGGAGGTCCTAAAAACCCCGTCCACGGAAAGGCGGCCCGAAGTCGCACCAGTGGACCTCCAACCTAGCTGGATGGATCCAATCATCAGGTACTTGGTCAGCGGCAAGCTTCCTGAGGACAGGCGGCAGGCCCAAAAGATGAAGTACCAGGCAGCAAGATACACGATGCACAATAACCTCCTCTACCGCAGAGGGTATTCGACGCCCTTACTCAGGTGCCTCGACGCAGTGGATGCAAAGAGGGTGCTATCGGAGGTGCACGATGGGGTTTGCGGAAATCACGCGGGAGGACAGTCCCTGGCCTACAAAATATTACGACAAGGGTATTATTGGCCTAGTCTCTAAAAAGATGCGGCCGAGTATGCGAAAAGGTGTGAAAGCTGCCAGAGGTACGCCCCGACCCCTCGACTGCACTCAGAGGACCTAACGTCCATACTATCCCCCTGGCCTTTCGGAAAGTGGGGGATTAACCTCATTGGTCCCCTGCACAAAACCCCAGGGGGGTACAAGTTCGCTATAGTTGATGAGTGAGTTTTACTCGCTCATTTGGTATCGTTTTAGACTTAATATCTACTTGGTTTTCGAGGTTTTTGTTAGTTTTTATGTGTGTTTTCGTTCTTTGTTTGAAGGATAGGTGGAAGTCTATGATTTGGAAGGTTTTGGACAAATTTCGGTGGAAAAAGACAGCAATCATAGTGCTTAGGCGCCAATCTGTACGCCTTGGCGCTGAGTTATACGGAATCAACAATTTGGGCAGAACTGGTGGTGCTTTGGCGCCAGTTTGTAGCGCCGCGGCGCCGAAATCCGGTAGAATTTGTACACTGGGCAGAATGGGCAGCGCTTAGGCGCCCATTACAGCGCCGCAGCGCCCAGGCATTTGACACAGTAGCGCCGCAGCGCTGGAAACTCAGCGCCGCAGCGCTACGACGCGAGAAATTACGCGTTTTGAAGGCCAATCGCGCGAAAACTTACCCGTTTT